CTTATATTTAGTTTTTGGCATTCTCCACTTTTATTTTGGAAATCTTTCAGGTTCCCTATTTTACACCATCTAAACCAGTTTAACCCTGAACTACTAGAAATGAAGAACAACTATACATGCTTTTAACCAATAAAATTTAGTTTCCTCACTTCGTCACAAAATTGGCTGCACGTCGTGCAAGTTTCATTTGTAGTTTGTTAAGACAGTTATGGAGAGGTCAATGTAAATGCAGAATTCCTGTTTGTGTCGGGGCTTCTAATAGTAACGCGGTATTCGCTTTATTCAGAAATATGTGAATTATGATACTAAACAAAACAATAATAGATCCTGGAAGAAGACACTTCCTTCTCAATGTATAGAGCACGTGATCGAATTCACGTACCAATGACGACACTGGCCATATTGATTTCTCAATAAGATTAAAGAAAACCATGCAATTTGAAGCTAACAGTTGTTGTCAGTGTTGGGAGTTGTCCATCTATAACAGAATAGTTTTACGTGTGAATTGTTTAATCCCATATATAGCCAGTGAATGTGAATATGTGACTACGTGTACATTCAAATCATTGCAATATATTTATATCCGGGAAATGGATGTTTATACCAAATACGTAAGAGCTTAAAATAAATACTTCAATCTGGATCAAACTAGATATTATCAATCCAATTTTTCCGAAACCAATATATACCACTTCTCGTACCGAATACCAGTCTAAAATTCTGTAGGCCAACAAATGCAATTGTAAATCATGAAGTATACAAAACAGGAAGGATATATGTTTAAAATTAACAAGTAAATATTGCCAAAACAATAAAATTAAACAACGATGGAAACTTGAAAATTGCTGACATCGCTAACATTTTGGAAAATTGAACTGCTTGAAATACTTTCAAAAATCCATTAATTAAGTTAGCGGGAAAGGGGAAAATACCTTTTCTTGCTTGTTTTACCTATTTTCTATTTTTAGGCGATATATTTTAATATGATACAATTTAGTTCACTGTGATTAATCAAATCAACCATGAGAGGAAATCTCTCGACCATAGAATATGGATTAACCTTATATTCTACTAAAGATATATATTACAAAGAAAATGTTGTGTACGATCTTACGCAAGACATAATACTGAATGGACAAAGTCAATTTATATAGTAAAATTTGCAGTACAATTTCATGTATATATGTTTATACCAACTCCTAGGAAAGTTTAAACATCGAAGCATAAATGCATAGGCTAAATCCATCGTATTAAAATAACTAATCATATTAGTGACCATACAATGTATGATTTATTACTTATGTGTTGTTTTTTTATTTCCTCCCTCTCGAGAATTGCTTTATTCTTATTACTAATATGGTAATGAAATTCACCGCAAATTATATTGCCTGTGAATAATGAGCAAAACGATCAAACACCTCTGAATTATTGACATTACTAAGAATTTGATGAAATACTTTGTTGCAAAGAATACAATGATCAAGAATTCTTTATATTTTTCTTTATTCTTTAGAAAATACAGTGTATATATCGACGAACAATTTTGAATACGTTTTATTTTATGAGTATTTGATATGATAATACATGTTGAACGACATGGATTATGGGTATCAGAAAATCAAATGCCGTTGATTTAATCAATGTGCCACGCATGCGCTTTCACTGCAATTACTGGTATACAGTCAGTGGTGCATGGAGCAATTTATACGTGCTTGCAGTTTCCACGAGATTTGATTTTTATAACCTCTAAACTTTTTCTCCAACTTCATTGGTAATGTAAATCATCATAGCAATCGATATATGTATATACGTTTGCAAATTAAGAGACCTCATTTATTTAATCCCAATATACCCCGCTCGTGCGCATGGCGTTCCTGAAACAAAAACATTATCTAGCTATTATAATAGTACAATTTAAAACAGTTTGTCTATATGTTTTATTCAAGCTATTGCCATGGACATTTCACAAAGTGAAGTGGTATACACGTATACCAGACAAACTAACAAACCACCGCTCTCAACTGACTCAATAATAGTCACCTGGTTAGATTATAAAGTTAAACATTTACTTCAAATAATTATTTAAATCGCATCATATAATTATTCGTATGTGTATAAAGTGTGGTTTTAACATTTGAAATTGTTGCTAAACTGTCTAATCGTGTTAGCCTCCACATATTCTTTTGTTGCGATAAACCTTTACCCAGCATCCACACCTAACAATTTAATTTGATAATGATGCAATACGTGTGAAAGTAATTAACTTTACATTAGTATATCACTTACTATGCAAGACATATATTAGATGTACACATCAGCAAATTGTGATGTACGAGGATCATATTACTTCGGTATTACTTGTAGCGGATGTGTGTGTAAGTCAAATAAATGTGAAGCTGAATACACGTGAAACAGCGATGACTAATCCAATTACAGGTTTCTATTAAACCAGCACTGGTCGATACTCACGTAAGAAGCTGATGATGGGAAAACGTAAGAACGTGTTGGGATTGGTGTAATTTTTGATAGTAAGTTGGTTTTGTGTTGCGCATCTTTCCTTAATTAAGGCGTAAGTACAATGAGATTGAATGAGCGTAATCCTAACTAAGACACAAGATCAGCTTAAGGTGGACGGCATGTCCTGAGGGTACTTTATTAGATACCTCAAGTGGCGTATGGCGTATGCAAAAATTATTTTATTTTGAAACACGGGTACCTCGGGGATAACCAGATTACAAAAACATTTAGAAGAGGCTCCCCATTGACCACCATACTCTTTGATAAAACCCAATTCTCTATGGAAAATATTTTCATGTTTTCAGAAACATGTAGCCTTTTTCTCGTAGCCTCGCATTTTGGCTACATTTGCGAGAAGGGTTCATGAAGGTCATTCAACAAGCGCTAAAATTCAAAGTGTTGCTTACAATTTCGTAAATTATTAGTTACACTTATTAGTTATTCATGGTACTACATCTACGTGTAACTATTTTACAATTGTCCCTCCCCTCTAGAAGCATATACAAATAATGAATCTAGCCAGTTCAAATCCGATCCATATAGTTGATCGTTGCAGATAAAGTAAAAATCGTGCTGGGAAACAGGCATGATTAAATCAACACAATGCATAAAATGTTCGTTCACGATAGACGAATATCAAAGCTCAATTCTAAAAATACCCCGTTTCCGATTACGATACAGGTCGAAACACAATGCCGACAACGCAGGAACATGAGAAACGGTTACGATGAATCTGAGAGCAATTAGAATACTTGTTATCCCGTACTAACATTTAATTGAAATGTTATGTATCCTAGTCATGTAAAATGATATCCGCCATTGTTGTACATTACCTGAAGCTCATTGGGTTAGTCCTATGTATATAGAACCGTTATGTATATATAGTGGTATAGTCATGTGTTTCATCATAGTTCCCTAATTAGTATGCAAATCACTATACTCAAATATGCTTACTCTAATGTATAGAATATGCTATTATTTGCTTATATATTAAGGTTCTTGCAACATAATTGTGTGACTTGCAGTAGCATATATACGAACACATCGTCAGAAAATCAAAGTGAGTATACGCATACTCGAGACACTCTTAACAGAAAAAAAACTAACACTGACAAATTTCTTAGAAAAGTTCGTTTGACATATGATCCTACTAAATCTGCACATGCTGAATGTATGCCCTGGAGATATAAACTGGTTCACTTGTCACAGGTAGGTTTGAAATTTAAGATCTAAAGTGACGTGAGAAGGGAGTACATATTTCCGTCAATCGTAAACAACTAGGGGCTATCGTGTGTACCATTTTTATATATAAAGTGTTCTGTTTCGTCACAAAATCTGCTCACGATTCCCTGCTTTCCGGGAATAAATGTTTTTCTTCGTCTCCGTTGGTTCGCGCGGAAGTGTGTGTATTTAGTGTGTTTTTTCTAGCACATTTGATTATTCATGTATTAAATATTGGAATATCAGGTGTTAGCAATATTACTTTTATGAAAATAGCTATATTATATGTTTTCGCGTTACAGTGGAATTTGAAATACATACATTTTCGTGTTGTCTGGCTGTCTACATGATAAATCCTTTATTATCATCATGTGCAGTACTGGAAAAATAATCTATATATTAATATGGAATAGTGAAATTATAAATAGAAATAACATTTGTTTACTTTGATTTGGAGTTTTGATTTTCGTCAGCAGCATGGTTAATGTTTTTTTTTCAAAGTATAATCCTTCACCAACAATGCTCGCACTAAAGCATATGGTCTAGAGAGAAATGTAAATTGTAAGGTTATTGTGGTCCGGTATTTATTTAGGGCAAACAGGATTAACTAAAACTCCTGCCTTAGATCGATCACTGTTAATCCCACCATTTTCGATTTTTGCCTAAAGCAAACAATTTCTGATTCGAGCGAACAACAAAGCGTTCAAGAAACTCGTTCGTGTATATACGTATATACAATGCCCCCTAAGGCCATAGTCCGTTATTGTAGGCAATTGTTTATCCAATAGGTTTCGTCTTTCCATCTTGGTATAAACCGGAATTGTGTCTTGCGCTCACAATAAAAAACTAGACCATAATATTATGGTGTGATTCTTATAAACGTCACCTACTTTAAAATTTAAAAAAAGACGTTTATAAGTTTGATAAGAATACAGAATATATATCAAAAGTTGAATACAAATCGACTAAAGTAGAGTGTAAACTATCACTTTCTGTCGTAACACAGGGCATATCTTCAATTTGTATACCCATCTAGGCGTGATCGGTTTTATTTATTTTTTGCAGTAATAAGCTGAAACTGCTTCTCTTAATTAGTCTCGATATGCCAGGATTGCAGATATTATCTGTTTAAGAAGAAAGTTATTCCCAAGTATACATCCAACTGTGGTTTAAATACATTTGGAGCTAGAGCTGTGTGTCGTTAATGGCTAGACCTAATATAACAGTAACATTTTTTCAAAGGAAGGTGTGTTGAAACTTACCTTTCTAGAGCTATGACCAATAGAGTATTGATCGAGACGTTCAGTGAGACCATTTTAACAGTGCCGACCACTGAGCACATGGCGTCGCCGAATACCCAGTTCTGGTATAAGTAGTAATATAAGTTGAACGGAGCGCAGAGAATTGCTACCATCGCATCGGACACCGCAAGACTGGCGATGAACAAGTTGGTGACTGTACGAAGACGTTTCTGCCGAAATATCGTCAGACATAACAGAGTGTTACCAAAACCACAAACGATAATTATGACAATGAACGTTACGACGAGTATGGTTTTAACAGCAACATGAATGTCCGGCAAATAGTTACCATCTCCGTAGTAGTCGTAATCGGAGTAGTGAGAGTTCGCCATGTACTGATCGAGGTGATCCCATATTCTAGGATCACTCCAGTTAATCGTTCCGTTAGACATGCGGTAAAAATCGTCTAAGTTCAACCCGTGTGCCATGTTTATCGATCGGCGGCTACAAGCTGCTGAATGCACCAGGTCCTCGCCCGACTGAGCCGACGATGGTCTGTTCGTCTACTATTAATACTACAACTATTACTGCGGCGGCGGAGAGTGATGTACTTGCGTACTGCCTCGGAAGTCAATCAAGCTTTCGAATGATGTATGACGAAAGCATCGTGTCTCCTCGTTAACAGCCTCAGTTGAGTCGTTAACCATCAAAAGTCAATTGCATTTTTCATGAAATGATTAGAATATTTTATATCTAACGGAACATGGCCTAATCGGATAGCGTCTTACCATGTTCCAAGTGTATTGACAGATTGCGCGCGTTAAGTACGTGTATTTTGAGGGAAATTCCAGAATCTTATCTTGTAGAACACTTTAAAGACATTCCAGAGTTTGCTATACGTATACAACTGAAGTAAAGTGTCAGATATGCCCTATTCTACTGTGTTAGCAGTATTGGATTATCAATAAATATTAGACAAAAACAATCTCTCTCTTTACGGCAACATGCTTACTACTGATACAGACAAATCACAATGCCCGTGGCAGGCATATATCACTCGATATGGTCGTGATTCGCCATAGATTCCAACATTAAATCACAGCTGTGGCGAGATATGGACAGTAATAAGTGAGAGTGCCCCCAACGATGATTTTTTAGTTGTTTTCCTAATTATCAGCTCGTTCGAAGCAATAATAATGTTTTCTGATATTGTTAAAATTACTAAAACGGAAATAAGTGAAGAAATATGAATGTGATACTGTAATATAGTAGTATTTAATTTTTCACTTTGAATTTTTGTTGAAGCAATAAATATGAGAAAATTTAAAATCTATAAAATTACTGTTTTCCTATGTTTTACACTCAACTCATCAACAACTCTGTTAACAAAATAAACAGCCAAATGCCTTTTCAGTTAAAATTAGCCGAAGCTAAAATAAAGTATTTTACAGTAATAACATAACGTTTTTATTTGATAACCATTATCTGTGTTGTTGTCGAAATTAAAATACGTATATTAAAACATTTGAGCTTTACACCTTATAAACAGTCGATATCAAAATGAATATGAGATTCGGTGGTTGTTGATGTACAGAAACTAAAACGCTGTGATTATTTCTGATGCTATTCATGCTTAATGTGTAGTCTTACCACGTAGTAAGATGGAGTACTGTAGTTAATGTAGAATCAATACAACGTAATACATTTAAGTCTGTGTGACTATTCGAGTGTGTTATTTTGTTATACTCCACTATTTGAAATGTCAAATGTTAATATACCACTATTTTGTGTAATGTGCACTGATTTAACACTGTTCGTTTATATATATTCTGACATTTTACATTATATGAAATACTTGTCTAACTTGTTTCGCAATAAAGCATGATGGGTAATTACAATAAAAGCAACTGTGGGGTAACAACTGCCCTAGGTACCTATACCGTATGGACCATTACTCAGGATTTAACCATTACCTGTAGAAATAATATATGTATACTAATGAAGTCATTAAGACGATTATATACATGAGTGTACTATCGACGTTGCAGTACATAGTCTTGTGGCGCGCTCGTAATAACA